CACAGTTCTGATATTTACACATTTATCTCAGCAGGTCTTTTTGATGATAGGGCTCACTATTTGTCATGGGACATATCTGGTAGAGAAGTTTTTGACTGAGAAATTAAAGGCAGAGTCAAATTCATTTCTCCTCTACACAGTTATCACGCCCACATGTCTACAAAATGACTGGGTCTTCACCTGTGCATTTGCTACTTGTGTTGTCTACAGAATATGAGGTTGAATGTTACAAACAAAAAGCCAAGAGAGCCCTGGCTGGTGTGGCCCAGTGGATTGAGTGCCTGCCTGTCACTCAAAGGGTCACTGGTTTGATTCCCAGTCGGGGCACATGCCTGGGTTGTGGGCCAGGTCCCCAGTGGGGGGTGCACAAGAGGCAACCACACACTGATGTTTCCTTCTCTTTCTCTCTCCCTTCTCATCTCTAAAAAATAAATAAATAAAATATTTTTAAAAAACAAAAGAGAAAGGTAGTAGTGTTCTTCCTTGTTGAATTTTTCACCATTCGATTTTTTTCCTTCAGGTGATAATGAGCCACTGGCAGACCTGTGTTGTGAGGAAATTCTATGCTTTTTCTCTAGTCAAACAAAAACCCAAGAGTACCAACATCTTCTGCTGCTGCTGTTGTTTTCTTTCGTGTTACTCATCCTGGACTGAGGAAAACTGTTTAAAGTTGTGCAAAGTGCTTCCGGGGGCAAAGGGCTCTAACTCAAAACATCACTGGCACGGGATCCGTTTCAAAAGGCCCTGCCGTAACGTCCACCATAGAGAGAAACCTTCGCTTCCATTATGCCCCAGCTCTTTGAAATGGATTTTTAAATTACCCACCTTTGCATTTCATCATGAATGTTTCAGGGAAATTATCCTGTGATCATGCCAACAAATGGCTGCAGACCTCAGGTTGGCGATTGCTCCTGTTCACTGAAGGTTCCCAGCAGACCCTGTCAGGAATTTCAATGCCTGGCAAGTCGGGGCGGCTAATATACCGTAACTGGCATTTTCTTATTAGACGAACACCCAAGTCGGCTCTCATTGGTAGCGATGACCCTAATTAAGAGAACCATGATTTCAAAGCCCAATCTTTTGCATTTTAACAATCAAATCTGGATATGGTTGTGCTGGCCAAAGAATTATGGGGTTTTTTCCCTAGAAAATTGGCACAATCTAACGTTAATTTTTTGGCCAAATGTCCATCACATGTTTTGGGGTTTTTTTTCCAAGCCCCTTCTCAAAATAAGAGGCTTCTTTCTAGCCATTGACTACCTGTATGACTAGGTTAAAAGTGTACATCTATACTCTGTGAACATAAGTGTGCTCACCTCTGTCTTCACCAAGTGCCTCTAGTTTTTTAGCTGCAAGAGACCTTAGGGAAACATCTCCAAATGAACCTCCACTTCCTTAAGTGGAAGAACTGAAGGCTTGGAAGCTAATGAGTTTGCTTTAGATTATTAGCTGGAGAGAGGTTGAGTCTCTTGATAAGGCTACTAAAAAAACCCCAAAATAATACCTGTTAAAGATGTTACCAGTGGCACCTGCTGATGAACTTGACTTTTTTTTTCAAACTCATCCATTTGGCAGAAATTGTTAATTGGGGGGAACTACTACAAATGTGACTCACACTGAAATTTTATGGTCACGTCGCTCAAAGGGACCGTTACCAGGAAATGACCTTGCGTCACGGTGTGAGGCGCTTCAGTGCCCTGTCTCAATGCGTATACAAAAATGTATAAGTTACTGGATGGGAGCCAGAACAAATCCATCGCATCTTTATGTGCCAGTGATGAGGAGATGCTATGACAATAAGAAGCCATGTCTGGAGGGCGTTTCACAACTCATGGCGAACTTTTACCTGTGGTACTTCTTGAACAACAGTTTCCTGCCCCCAACAGCAAAAATGCAGGGTAAAGGCAAGAACTTTGGGTGCGGCAGTATTATCACCTCCACTCCACTGCAGAAAATAAGAACCTTTCCTTAAATTAAAAAAAAAAAAAATCCAGGTTTTCAAAGCGTAAAGCCGTGTGCTTGTCACTATGATATCCTATTTTCCTGAAAGCAAAAATGATGATGGGTAGCCCTGGCTGGTGTAGCTCAGTGGATTGAGCGTAAGCCTGCGAACCAAAGGATTTCGATTCGATTCCCAGTCAGGGCACATGCCTGGGTTGCAGGCCAGTTCCCAGCAGGGGACGCACGAGAGGCAAGCATACATTGATATTTCTCTCCCTTTCTCCTTACCTTCTCCTCTAAAGATAAATAAATAAAATCTAAAAAAAAATGATGATGGGTAATATAGTATAAAGAGAAAAAGAATGCAGCTTATCATTTATGGTTATCATTGATGACCATAGCAGTCATTCACAAAACGACCCTCTGGGCATCGTCTTGCATGGAACGCAGACATGGAAATCTGCAGGGGAGGACCCATCACCCCAGGGTCAATGATGAGCACATGGAGGCTCAGGAAAGTGAGCTGATTTCTTTGATGTCACGGAGCCGGTCAATGGCAGGAGTGGGATTTGGGAGCTTGACTCCAAACACATTGTTCCTGACTATTTACTTACTTCATGACACTATAATGTACATGTGTGACAAGATTCTAGCTTGATGGCAATAAAAGCACAGACAGAAATCAGTGGTAAGAGCTGCCCCCCACAAGCTTCAGTTAGTACAGAAGAAAATCTTCCTTGGCAGAGAAAAGTCAACATGAAAGGCTGTGTGTTTGTGTATTTGTGTGTATGAAACAGGGTAAGAAACAGGTGTGTGTGTATGATATATATTATACCTCTATTTTATTTATGGATATGTGTAAGTTAAAAATAACATGGAAAGGAAATATTAAATAAATACTAAAACATTTTTTAAAAGAGAAACAATAGATAATACTAGTAAGACCTTTCACAAACCCTAAAACACAGTTACGAAGCAGAATTTACTTTATAAGTTTGGTGCGAGAGACAGATTGCTACCAGTAGTAGAGACAACTTTTTATCAGGATTTAATTGTTAAGAGTTGCTTCAATTCGAGGGAAATGACTTAGCCTTCAGGATATGCAGATTGCTATTATAATAAGCCGTGTTTTCTAACGAGGGGAGGGCCTTCAGCGATTCTTGCAAGAGCGAAAACTTCCAGGAACTATCCTTTCTGCTATTATAGATTAATAAATTTTAGCAGTGCCATACCACAGATCTTTGGCACTGACCTATATAGAAACATTAATATCTGATGATATTGATTTCACAGGCGAAGTCCAGGACCTTATGGTAAAGCGAGAGAAAGGCCGTAAGACCCACCAAACGAGACCCAGGGAAGTGATAACCACCACCGGAGCTCGGGATGGGCTTGGTGACGACACCCATCCTCCTCAGGGGTCTCTGGACACTGGTGCACATTTCCTGTGCACGACCACCTAACACACTGCCGCTTCCTGGATTCTCCGTGACTGTCACGGGTGAACTGAGTGGTGCTGTAGCTCAGGGCCCCTTGGATGGCATTCTGTATACGCCCCAACCTGAGGCAGGGGTGACGGCGCTATGGCCACTAGGAATGAATGCTCTTCTCCTCGGAACTATTAGGAAGAGATGGGCAAAGACCCAGATAGGGCCATGGAACAAGGGTGCTTTTGCAGCTCGGCAGTCGGGGCGCCGATTCTTCCCAGGTGCACTGTTCCCGGGGGACCGTGCAGGAAGTGTCGCCCCTGGAAAGCAACTGGGCAGCAGACCAGGAGCTAGAAGAAGTGGCGACCCCCTTTCTGCCCTCCCCTCCCACCCTCCCCTGCTCTCCCCTGCCCTCCCCTGCCCCCAGGTCACTACCTTGGATTATTGCTATAATGCACAAGCTGTTCAATGTGTTGCAGCCATGACCCTCTCTAAGTAGGAAAGCCAGCCCTGGCTGGTGTGGCTCAGTGGATTGAGCACTGGCCTGTGAACCAAGGGGTCACTTGTTTGAGTCCCAGTCAGGGCACGTGCCTGGGATGAGGGCCAGGTCCCCAGTAGGAGGCGTGCAAGAGGCAACCACACATGGATGTTTCTCTCCTTCTCTTTTGCCCTCCCTTCCCTTCTCTCTGAATGTAAATGAATAAAATATTTTTTAAATATGAAAGCCAGACAGCAGCATACACAAGCAAGCAGAAGCATGAACGGACAGCCAGGTCAGGAAGCCAGCCTCCTAAATCCCCTTCGGGCCTGGGGGTAGGGACTTGGTCTCCCAGTGTCTCGTCTTAGCTGTCCGTCCCCCAGGCCACTTTCTCAGAACGGCCAGCGGGGGCGAACATCTGAGACGCCTATCTTCCAGTCTGCTTATCTTTTCTCCTGTCACTTTCACTGATGCTCTCTGCTCTTCCTGAAGGCTGACCTTTCACAAATGTTGGTTTTGTTTTAGAGATGCCCTATTGTAAATAAGAGAGCAGAGTTCAGAGAGCAAAAGCCAGCGGAGCTGGAAGGCTGTGTGGGGACTGAGGAGCCCTGTGTCGCCGGCCAGGGGCGAATGTTAACCTGCCCGGGGGCTGTGAGGAGGAGCAGGGGTCAGGTCCACCCCCGATGCTTCAGCCCAGCTTGGTTTTGTAACATCCCCCTGGGGAAACATTAACAGCAAGAGCAACGTGCTGGTGGACTCCCACGTTTGCTGTGGGGGGGTTTCTGGACGTGCCGGTAAATATCTGGGAAACTCACAGGGAGCCGCTGGGACACAGATGGTTACTGAACGGTGCTGGCGTTGGTCACTGGAGAATGTGCTGTTCACATTCATATCCGCCATGTTGGTTCGGTCTGTGTGAAGGGGAGTCCCTGTTAGATGCGCCCCCAGCTCCATTCCCAGGGGGCAGGGCACTCCGGCTGGGCAAATCAAATGACTTCTCTGAGCCATTTCTTAAACAAGCAGGAGAATAAGCGCAATATTCCCTCTCCACCCGCCCTCCAAAGGTTGTTGAAACTCAAGGGAGATCATGCATACCAAGCCACCTTGTCAGCTTGCAAAGGGTGCTTGGGGCTCGGGCTGGTATCACTCACTGATTTCTGTTTCAAGTGCCAGACGGTCGTCCCGGCCCGCGTGGCTCAGTTGGTTGGAGCGGCGTCCCTAGACGGGAAGGCTGCGGGTTCAGTTCCTGGTCAGTGCACATACGAGAGGGCAAGTGATGGATGACTCTCTCTCACGTCGATGTTTCTCTCTCCCCCTTCCTCTGTCTCTGAAAGCAATGGAAAAAATGTCCTCAGGTGACGATTAAAAAAACGTTACTGGTGGTCAAAACACAGGGCATTCCAAAATTAGAAAAGTTCCACTAATAATATATATCTGGGCCTAGCACGGGGACGATGGCGGGCAGATAATAGATTAGATGACCCCTGCCAGTTGGGAGATGGAGAACTCCGCATCTGCAGCGCACGGAGTGAAGCCAAAGTCCCCGAGTGGCCATCTCTCCTTCCGCAAACCTCAGAAAGGCCAGCGCTGCTCAGAGGCAGTGAGTCCCAAGGCCTGGGGCAGCGCCCCCGGGTCACGGGGCTTGCGGATGCTTCTGAGCGAGGACTGCCCGTTCGATGGTGGTCTTGGCACCACCTCTGAAGGAGAGCAACAGCAATCAGGCTTCTTCCGCGCCATCGAAGCCTGGAGCAGGCAGAGAGAGTTTCTCACCACAGTGCGAGAAGGGCCATCCCAGGCTCCCAGGCAAATGCCCCTCCCCCACCCACCCCGGAGTCGCTCAGGGCGCCCCAGTGGCTTCTCAGAACCGTCCCAGGTGCCCTGTGAACGCTCCCCCCATCAGCTCTTTTAACCCCCTCTCTGGCCTCTCTCTGCCAGGTGTTGAATTGGAGCTCTTTGTCATTTCAGGGCATCTTGACATGTGTCCCCATTGTGAAGTTTCCTCTGTAGTGCTTTTTATTCGGAAAGAGCCTCTTTAAAGGACAATATGAAAACAGCTTCTTCACACTGGTTCCAGTGAGAAATGGGTGAGTGGGGGGAGAGAGAGCCCCGATACTGGGGTAAAAGCTGGCCGCTGCCGGGTGGAGCCTGTTCCTTCATTCAGCCCGTCATTCAAAGTGGAGATGGAGACCACCGGACCTCACACCTGCAAGGGGAGGATGAGAAAGGAAACCTCGGCTCCGCCCCTAGAAGGGCGTGGCCCCGGGAAACACGGGGGTCCCTACTGTCTCTCCGTCATCCTCGTAGGTAGCATGAGCAACATCACGACCCACAACGTTTTTATTCAGAAGTCACCCACTTAGTGTGAATTCTTCAAGGCTTAGACTGCTTCTAACCCCTCCCTACATCCTCACCACCTTCAGCTAACGGCCTCAAACCCCTAGAACACAGTGAGTATTCCATTCATACAATACCACTGAGCACCGGTCACGAACCAGGGACAGTGCAGTTGTCGTCATACAGAATGGTATAGCTCATCACGGAAAACAACCCCTTGAGTTGTGTCTCGTCATTCCCACGTCACGGGGGTGGACAATCCTGCTGGAAGATATTTAGCAGGTCATCGGGGGTCCCAAAGTCTGGCGACACCACTTCAGGGCCACCACCGCCTCCTGTGGGGCTGCCGGCACCAACGGTCCCAACTCCATCGTGTGAAAGATAGTTTTCCTCCCCCTTTTCTCATGCCGCTCCCAACCCCTGCTCCACAGACGCACCTGCGTTCGAGTCTGTCTGCAAGTACCCTTCTCTATCCCGCTGATCGACCTGTCGATTCTCATGCCCACGGGCCTTTCTCAATGACTGCCCATTGGGGAAAAATGCTTTAATACTTACTAGAGCAAGCCCTCCCTAATTATTCTTTCCTAGGTGCATTGGGTTATTCCAGCTCTTCATGCATCCAATGAACTTTCTAATCACATAAAGAAGTGCCAAAAGGGTACCACTGGGATTCTGATGGCTTTGTTAGAACCACAAATAAATCAGCATGAACCTGTACTGCTCAGATCTCTTTTGCAAATGCCTCCTCACTTACTCAGGGCCCTCCATTAATTCTCTGTTCTGAATTAGATGATTCGCTTATACTTCTAAGTGTTTACTGCTTCTGTGCAGGAAGACTATGGGGTTTTGGACCTGTTCCTTTGCTATGTAGCTGCCTTCATGAACGCCCTCACTCATTTTTTTTCTAAATAATTATTTCAGGTGTCAAAGGTTAAAATTATGGTCTTCAAAAAAACTGGGTTTCTCCTTTCTGAGTTGTTGTATCTTTTGATTGTTGTGTTTTTGATGCCTCCTGTGTGCTGGAGAGAACAGCATTATTATGCAAATCTTGTTTCTGGTTTTCACGTGAGTAGAAGTGGGACGTGTTGCTGATGAGAATATGTATATTAGTGGATTGAAATGTGTAGTCACAGGCTTTTAAACTACTTGTAACTGAGATTCGTGGTATTTCTTTGCATCCCTGGGAAAAGCTCTGTGCTATATTCTTTTATACTGTTCGGTCCTAATGCTTTGTCTTCTAGTTCTTTTCTTAATGTATAAGGTTTTCTCTCTACTTGTTGAGGCTATTGGTACACCCAGGTTATATATGCGTCTGGAATTAATAGCAGTGTTTTGTGTTTTCTGGAAAAAAAATGATTAATTGTGCTGAGTGCTGGAATTTGTTTAGCACAGGTTTATAGAGAAGGGCCTTATCATTTCTATCCCCACATCTGTTACTAGACCATTTCTCAGTTCTAATTTTGTTTATTTGTACTATCTATTTTACTATCTTAGGGGAATTCTAGAGGCATGGCTGGAATTGTGTTCCCTATAAAAATAATATTTGAATAATGAACTCGTTTCATTTTTGTCTTATTTAATAATGCTATTAATTTGCTTTTCCCTGCAGTTTTGGAAGCATCCAATAACTTTTTTGAGTAGCATTCCAGTTTTGCTTTTCAAATAATTCTATTTATAAATCTGCTCTTGACCATATAAATCATTAAAATAGTAAGTTTTCTAAATAGATTGCTTTGAATTTTTTTTTACCCAGGTAAGTTGTTTTTTTTTTTTTTTTAACTTTGGGGGAGGATCTTTTTATGACTTAGAATATGATTCATTGTTCCCTCTTCAACTTTTCACTGGCTACCTAGACAGAGTTTTTTATTAACAGGGTAAAACATTCGTGCCTGGGCTGCTTCTCCGTGTTCGCCCCAGGGGCACCGCGCCGCCACCCTGGTGGGGCTAGATGGCCAGTAACTGAGTCAGCCGAAGGGGCTTGTTTGAGCACTTTCCGTACCAAGGCAGCTTTCTTTCTTTTCCTGCTCCTCAAATCGTATTTCTCTTTCATTTCAGATACAAACACTGGTCACTCGTGGTTAGTGGAATATTGATGTTGCTGCTTCCACACACACACTTTGTTTTGCGGGAACCCATATTCGTAGGCGGAGGTCACAATCAACCTAGGGGACTCCCCTTAGTGCTTGCGGGAGACCTCAACGACCCTCATTGGCACCACCCCCACCTAGTGGCAAGTCTCAGAATTACAGGCAGAGGGTCTCGGCGTGAAAAGCAACATCTGTGAATTTCACATCTTCAAAATGTAATCTGATTCATAAACCAAAAGAGGCATAATGATACATTAGAAAATAAAACATTAGGAAAGTATTTCACTACAATATAAGATGGTAGTTATTCCAGCCTGTCGCATTATATTAGACAGAAGTAAATTCCAACAGTTAAATCCCAGAAGCCTATGTTTGCTTTCCTTGAGGGGCTGAGAGCGGTAAAATCATCCACTCGAGATTCGATGGGTCATGTATTCTGTGCAGACAATGAAACGCCAGGGATTGTCTCAAATGTTTGTATTAGAAATCCTTAGGAATAACCACATTCGTTATTGTTTTTGGATTAGCCTTCTAAACTTCCATCAACTTCTCTGCTCAGCTGCTCCTGATCACCAGCTTCTGCTGGGTAACAGGACACACTCGGTGATGCTCACGACAGCGGAAACAGCCCAGTCACGTGGCTCGACCCTGAAAACCCGGGGGTGGGGGAGGGGCAGGCCACCTAACAGCAGTCTGACGATAACTTAAATTCATAACTAAAATCATCATTCCTTTCACCTTTATGCTAATGGGAATAAAATCATCCAATATTTTCATCTCTCTTGTGGCTTCCAAAACAACCAGGTTTGTACTGGAAGGCCCTCCAGTGTAAGATAAGTCTTTTTTTTGTTTTTTTTTTTCTTGCCAAGATAATGCTTCTTATTTGCCAAAAGAGCATCTTCCCATCTGAACTGAGGCCTGCCTTCAGTAGCACCCTAAAAAAGGGGGGCCAAAATCCTGCCCCAGCTATACCTTAAAAGAGTAAATAAAGGCAAAAATTTCAGGCACCACTCATGGCAGAGTTATAGTCTTAAAAATGGAAAGATTTCTATTTGCTTTGCATGTTCTGCAAGAAAGGGTAGTGAGTCTTTTTCATGTTCTGGTTTTGGTTTTTAGGTTCCTCTTATTGGAGGAATTTAAATTGAGGCTAGGCAAAAAAAAAATGAAAGAAAGAAAGAGAGGGAAGGGAGGGAGAGAGAGGGGGAGGGAAGAAGGAGGGAGAAAAGGAAAAACAGACAAACATGCCCAAAAGACCAGGTTTACAATAGAAAGCAACCAAAAGCAGCAGAAAGAAGGGGGAATGAGTGGATGGTGCACCCTCGAAAGAGACAGACAGAGCCGGCCCCGTGGGAGATGCAGCCCTCGTACCGTATGAGACAGAAGTAAATGCCCAGCCGGCCCTCACCACCAAACTCTGAGTCATTCTCAAAACACCCAGATCTCAGCGATAGCAAACTGTTCAAAATAAAGACACTCAATTAGCCGTGTAACTACAGAAAATGAGAGCCATCATATCCACTGCCTTTACGGACGCAGCTCACAGCGTCGAACGATGATAAAAACTTTGATGGAGGCACACAAACACAAATTAACAAAACATTAACTAAAACGAGAAAGCTGCTGTTGGCGTTTGGAGCTGTGAGCAGAACAGCCCTCCTTCCCAGCTTGCGGAAGAGCTCACTTTCAGGCCTCCGGCCGCAGTCACAGAGAGTGAAGGCCCTCCCTGCCCTCCGCCACCCAGGGGACCTCCCAGGAATGGTGTCAGGGCCTCTGATCCTCACGCAAGGGCGGCCTTTGCCTGGCCAAGTGCATGCGGAGAGAAACGCACCATGCACCCAGCTTTAAATGCAGTAAAGGCTCCCGATCAAGGAACTCAGGAGTCCCTGCTGGGTGGGGGCGATTTTAATGCTAATGCCAGAAAGTATCATCTTCAAGACCTGAGCCAGACGCCCAGCTGAGGCCCCAGGGAGGAATTATTCCAAAGTCCTCTGTGGCAGCAGTATTATTACTGCCCTTGTTGTTGTTGTTACTCCTAGTTCTCTATCACCTCCCAATAATCACATTTCAAGAGCATGAACATGGTGAATAAGACAGCATATGGAGAGAGGATTTGGTGGAATTTTTCAACTTGCCTGTCGGTGTGTGTGACGATTTCCTAAGGGGTCTTATCCTTTCTTCTAGTTCCCAGATCAAGTCCTGACGGCTTTCAAATAATTTCGTATGGGCATTAAGTAATGCAGTCTGGAACTAGAGTTGATCGGGCATCATTTTCCTTCAAAATCGTCAAGGTCCAAGGAAAAGAGGCACGGGAGACTTGGAAGGGGAGGGGGTGGGGGGCGGGCGGTCCTGGGGCCCTGCCCTGGGCTTTCACACACAGCAGTGTTCTGGGGAGCCCTGCTGCAGCCCACCACGCCCCCCCACCCCCAGCCCCGAGAATGAAAACAAATGATTTTTGGCGACAATATCAAGGGGCTACACACTGACCTGCATGATGCAGGGACTCTGTGCGGCTTGAGTTTTTACAGACAGCCGCATGAAGCAATTTTCCTATGAATTTCTTGGGGAACCGGCCTGCAGTCCGTCTGTTCCATGGACCCCTACGCAGAAACCACCAAGTTCGACAGGAGACAAGCCAGGGATGGGGGAGAGGCCTATGCGCCACCCACGAGGAGGGCGCTCACGGCTCGTACATCCCCCCAGGCAGTGAGATGGGAAAGGACCTGCCTGGGAAGAGACAGACGTGGGTACCAAAACCAACCCTCTGCCCTGGCTGGGTGGCTCCGCTGGTTGGGGTGTCGCCCCCTCCACCGAAAGGCTGCTGTGGGGTCCATCCGTGGTCAGGACGCGTATGAGAGACAAGCGATGGATGTTTCTCTGTCTCCCTCCCTCTCTCTCTAAAATAAATAAACATCTCCTCAGCCGAGGATTCATTTTTAAAAAATCAACCCTCAAATGAGCAGAGGGAGTCGGCTAATTCTCTTGTCCTGCCAGGAAACGAGTCAGCTGCCCTGTCTTTGTCTTGAAGGTGTGCAGGATGTGTGGGAACAGCCCTTGCGGCCCCGGCGGGCCCTCCGCCCCCTCCAGGGGCAGGCAGGTGGGCTCAATAAGCTCACAGCAGGTGGGGAAGTGTCCAGGGTCAGAGGAGATATGGACTCTGCAGAGGCACCTTTCCCTGGGAGCGGGAAGTGGGCCGCTGGGGGCGGGGAGCCGGGCTCCGCACGCCCGGCCAGCAACAGGACAGGGCAGCCATCTGGCAGCCACACAGGGGCTCTCCGTGGAAATGCGTCCCTGCCCAAAGGAAGCACCTTTCTCCCACAGGTTCCTTTAAGGCGACAGCGACCTCACAGCCCGAGGCGGAAGATGTCGCCCCAACCTGGCCTGGGGGGGTGTTTGTTTATGCAATCTTTAAATAACTCATCTTCATCCCTATTGAGCCCATCACGGAGTGTCAGAAATAAATGTGTCGCCTTGGCCTATTGTTTGCAGAGGAGCATTGTCGAGCGAGGAAGAGATATTGCAGACACGGAGGAAGATACACGCAGGAGTGTGACCTTCCACTGCACTACCTATAACCAATCTCATCAAATTAAAGCACTGTATATTTTCCTTAATAATCTCTGATTAGGCTGAGCCGATGAGTGGACACGAACACCCGCCATTGCTATGCAGCGGGATGTCTGCTTAGCACCAGCAAAGCGTTTGGGAATAAGTGAGCAAAATGCTTTAATTTGATAGGGTTAGAATCCTGCAGGCTCCGGGGTGAGAGGTCCCCAACAGCCCCGCTCACACTGAATATGCAGAAATAAAAAAGTAAATTGCTTGCATCTGCTGCAGGCGGCAGGGAAAATGATCTGATTGGACCGTCCGAGGCCTCTCCATCTCTTTTGGGTTAGACAGAGGGTTTCAGAGCATCAAAAGCTTGTAATTGGAGTAATTCTGAATTAATGGACACGCACACGCGCGCTCACACACACACACACACACACACAGATGCACGCACACACAACATTCTGAGGCAGCTGTTTGCAGAAGCCTGCCTGCTTAGGAATGCTCCCAGATTGCAAAGAAGCAGCCTCATAAATAATGTCTCCTTCCCCTGCCGCTCCAAACGGACCCTAACTGCTGGTCTGAATTTGACAACAGGTAACCGACCTAGCTAGCCCTCTTATCTGGCTCCTGCTTCTGCCAGGAAGCCTGGAACTATCGGGCCTGATCGCCGCATCTTCCTGAAATAGACATGCACTCACTTCCTCCTGCATGAAGAGAGGAGGGTTCAGCAAGGGTTTCCCGCGATCCCCAGAACTTGACAGAGGAAGCCCGGGTTTCGCCCTGCTGTGTGGTGTGGGATTTCACCTGCGTATTTCATCAATGGGCGTCCTGGGTGGGAATGCAAGGTCTTTGGGGCACAGGCCCGTTCAGTTTCACAGAGGATGTCACCTTGACCTGTTCCCAGGACCCCACTCGGGGACCCGCCTCGCCGATCACGTGTGGCCTGGCTTCATCTGCCGTTTTTGTTTAGCGTTCCAGGCCCACGAGGCGGAGGTTGGGTCTGCATTCTGTTTTCGCGTTACTTCATTGTATCAGCTCACGATGGCTCGCAGACCTCTGCAGCACTGCCCGGTCCCATAATCGGCGAGCTTGTGCCAGGCAGGAAAAGCAACAATGGCTTCTGCCGGTGGAGAGCAGCCCCCGCCCAGGGAGGGAGAAACACAAATATGGAAAGCCAAAGACAGCCAAGGGCATGCATCCTGCGAGGCCCAATCTCGAGGTCACCTTTCAGCCAGGCAATGGTCTGGGGAGGCAGCCTTGACCAGACAAGCTGGATCTGGGCTGAGGGCTCCCGAACGCTCTTGGCCAGCCTTGCCTTAAAGGGACCGCTCCACACTGCCCTGGTATCTCGGGAGTACGTGGGGCCGACGACTGAGTGCAGAACAGGTTCTCCACGCCCTGTTCCTGCCCAGGCCTCCCTGACAGCATCCCAACAGCCTGCTTCCTGCAAACATCGGGTTGATACGCTTTCTC